TGGTGCAATCCGAAGGTGAATATAGGATCTCAGTGGCAGAAAACTAGGCCATCCTAACTATTTCCATTACTAAAAACCGATAAGCATTATCTGGTCATCATAAGACCTTCAGAATGTGCCCATGCCCACGGATTTTTTTGGGTTCACCATAACAGGAGTGCAAGTTAGTATCAGTGGGGTGTCGCCCGCTCTACAGATAGGTAATTTAATAAACAGATAAAAATAAATAACACATTTATTAAATAAATAAAATTTACCATAATGAGTAAAATTATCATAATATCTGACCCATTTCTTAAAAGTGTCTTAATACTCACCTTATCATGAATAAAAATATCTTTTGAAGTGTTAATATAGAGGAAACGTTATTTATATACCTATATAAGGAACGGATTTCATTTCTCGGTCGATGAAGTCGCAGCCGTGCGCGTTTAGTTGGCGTGACTCCTATAAATTAAAAATATCATTTCCTATCTATTAACTAGCTGTTACCCGATACTTTGCCCGCGTGTAATTTATTACGATTGGATTTCATGGGTTTTAAATTTTTTGCATCGAACCCTAATTCTTTTTCTAAATTAAAATTAGCCTAAGTTCCTCCATATAATATCAGTTATCTGCCACTGAAAGTCTCGTCAAAATCGATTCAGCCGATTCGGAGATTAGCCGGAACAAACAGACAGACAGACAGACAGAAAGAAAGATAGACAAAGATTTTAAAAATTGTGTTTTTGTTGTAAGTACCGTATGTACTTTCATATGCATTTAGTAAAAAACTATTATTTTGACATTACATATAGACACTTCAATTTTATTTATTTGTATAGATATATATTAATAGTCAGGAAATGCTGTTAAATAAGTCTCCTATAAAGTGATATTTTATAGGAGTCACGCAAACCAAACGCCCACGGCCACGCCCCACGTTTGGACTAGAACTGTTGATAAAATATCGATATATCGAAAAATCTATTTTATTATTTAGAAATACCGATATTTATTTCTAATATTTTTGAAGACATATATTGAAATATAAGTTTGATATTGAAATTTAAAAAATATACGACAGTCGATATATCTTTTAAAATAATTTATTTTTTTATTTTTTCACGTAAATTATTTTAATCTACAACACCATCGTAAACTTATATCCTAATTCTTGATGGACTCAATCTACTATACTTTATTTACACTATATTATGATTTTCATTTTTCCCCAGTTCATTTATTTGCTTATTATCTTAAAAAGAAATGTAATTTTGTAAAGTATATCTCTGTGATATTAAAATCACTATAATTTATGAAACTTAGTACTACTTTACTTACTATGAGTTTTGGCAGGAGCTTGACCATTGACGGATGGTTGCTCCTGTTTTATCGTTTAAATAATCGTTTGAAGTGGATTTTTATCAAAGTGATGCGATTATGTGTATTAAGTGTCTGCACATGTGAGCTATTAGAGAAAACGACGAAATAAGTGCTTCGATGTTGGTATAAGCCTCAAGTTATTTTAATCGCTTAGGCGTCTTATGATTTACTTCCGTGCTATCAGCAATAGCTGTTAAATACTTGATTTCTTCAGCTGCATCCAAAGCATCTGAACGAATTACTTCTACAATCAATCTTTTAGTGCCCAATAATTGGAGTATTGAAACAGCTGAACATATAAAACAACGAATATTTTTGAAAACTCTTACTGACAAATATTGGTAAACATAATTGTCTTATTTAAATTAAACAATAATTCAAGTTAAAGTTACAGCCTATATACGTCCTAATGCTGGGCACTCCTCAGCTGGGCAGGCCTCTCCTAACTTCTGAGAGGGTTTTAGGGCAACGTCCGCCGCGCTGCCCCAATGCGTGTTGGCGAACTTCACGTTTTCTGAATTTTTTATTTTATTTCTCAGACATACAGGTTTCCTCACGATGTTTTCCTTCATCGCCGAGCACGTGGTAAATCAGCACTTAAAATTGCAATTAACAATTTCATTGGTGTCGGCAGTGACTGAGCTACCATGGCTCTTTAATAGTTAGGTTATAGTTCTTAGTAAAATAATTACTAAGAACTATAACCTAACATTTTCATACATTTATAATTTAATTTGTTTAATAAATATACTAAATTATAAACTGTGTGAATCATTTTTAAGCAATAAGCATCAATATATCGCTTATGTATCCCATATATAAAACTCCGATATTGATATATTTATAATTATCGATATATTGAAAATTATAAAGCTATATTTTAAAAATATCAATAGCCCTAGTTTGAACTGATCAGTTGGAATGATCAGTTGAACTGACCGTGTGTGTCGAAGATTTTTTGGATTAAATCCGTTTGAAGTCATCAGTTGAACTGATGTCAGTTTAACTGACCGTGAGTGGGGACCAATAGCGCCATAGCATCATAGCTGCCATTTTCATAGTACGGCTGTGCGCTATGGTAAAATAGCGCGCTATAATATGGCGTTATGCGCTATATTAACCACCTCTGCTCCACACTAGGATTTTCTCTTGTATTGTGGATTTAGTAGATTTAGAGTATTTTACATACATTAATTTCACAAGGACAAACATCCAGACCCGGAACAATTATTTGTAGGTCATACAAATACTTGTTCCGTGCGGGGTTTGAACCCGTGGGCCTCAGCGCTGGACCTCATTACTAAGCTTCTGCGCCACGGACTCGTCATATATTCTTGGTGTTGGTTTACTAGTTGCATGTTGATGAATTGGTTACTTACATAGAAATTTAATATTTTGTTACACAGTATGTAATAAAATAAAGGTAACCAATTACTAATATACCTATTGTTTTCTTTCGTATTAAACTAAAATTTGAATGAGAGTAGGGCCGTTTGTTGGTTGTTTTCTGGTGGTTTTAGAAGTTATATAAGGTAGAAAGCTAGTTTACTAAGACTAATTTGATGCTTATGCATGCTAGTTTAACTGTTGATGTTGACTGTTGGCAATGAGGGCTAATAATTTTCCACTCACCAGATGTCGCTAGTAGTGACTGAGGTAAAGTTTTTTGTTACACAGTGTCAGTTAATTGAGAAATTAGTTTTAAATAATATTTATCATTATCTAGAGTATTATATTAATAGACACCACAATGCATCAGTGGTTTGATTTTTAATTTTTTGCATTTTATAACTCTTTATTTTAAAAAAAAACGGCTTTTAGTTATATTTATAGTTTGGTTTATCAATTTCTAATGTAATTAATATAAAATATAACTAATAATATAGAAGGAAACCTTAAAGATTGCATTTTCCTAAGAAATGTTCGTCCTCGCTATGAAATCTGTCAAATATTTTACCCAATTTTACCTCACTGTAAAGTGGCGCCGCCCTGGTGGCAGAAAAAGTCGTGAATAGCATAGACTTAAGATAGTATATCCTAAGTCTATGGTGGATAGTAGATAATTACAAATATTTCAAAATATTTGTAAATTATTGTATAAAGTGTTACATTTGGCGTTAATTTAAAATATTATGATGTATCTTACAACTTAACTACCCTTTTCGGCTATTACAATAATAGGTATGTGATTTACATAACTATATTGACCATAATTAATCAAAATTATAAATCATTTTAATTTACATACCTTAAATTTTAAGTGCTAAATAACAAATTGTTTTGGTTGTAACTAAATACATTTTGAAACAAAGCGCGCACACAACGAACGAACCGCGCTCTTTCGCTTTTGCTTTTGCTCGCTCACGCTCACTTGATCCGTTCATATACAGTAGGCCAAACTCGAGTTAAGATCCAACCATGAAGTTATAGATATCTATAACTTCATGGATCCAACTCGAGTTAGCAACTCGAGTTGACCCATCACTAAGATAATATACTACAGTTGGCAACACTGGCGATGCTTTCCTTAGGGATTGTTGACATCGACAGCTCAACATCGATGTTCGATGTTTATTCTACTCAAAACATCGATGTTGGTCATTATCGATGTTTTTTTGGACATGTATTTAATAGGTTAGAATTAGACGAATAAAAAATTGTCATGTTGTTTATGGTTTATAATTAATGAAATAAAAGAAATTAATAAACAATGTAGTATAAAACAGGAATTAAAGAAATTGGAAGAAGTTCACCAATATCTAATTCATTTGTTATATTGTCCAATATTTTTGCCGATTGATTGAAGAAATAGTAATTTTGAAATAGAAGTACATTTTAATCTGTTTCTTTGTTGATAAAGAGTTGAGCCAGCTATTGAAAATAATTTAAAATTATAATTTTGTACAACTGACTTAATAAAAAACTTGGTCAGACTTATATAGGTCTAATTTATATGGGACCACATGTGAAGCACCAAATTTCAAATAAAAAAAATCATCGAAATCGGTTCACCCACAAAAAATTATGAGGTAACACAATTTAAAACAAAAGCAATTTAAATTAAAAAAAGAACATACAGTAGAATTGAGTACCTCCTCCTTTTGAAGTCGGTAGATAACCGCTCAGATGGCGCTGATGTAGCAATTGTGGTCAAATATCTCACCGCAAGTTTTCTTTTTAATTTTAGATAGGTAGAATAGATAACATTGTTCTAAACGTGCATTGGATTGTGTTTAAGATTAACCATATTTTTTTTAATAACAACCGTTAAAGACATAGGTAACCAACAACGACACTAATAACAAACGAAGTCAATGACAACTGCGACATTACAGTTGACACTTGACAGTTATATTTGATACCCCATAATGATATATTTTTAGGTTATCGAGGCGTTCAAGCATTCTGAATTATTCAAAATTTGAAATATTTTAGAGGAGATGCAAGATTTAGTTGATGTTGATTTCGCGGATTCGCAAGTACCCAATAATCGATTATGGATTTATTGACATCGATGTTTCGATGTTTGACATGTGGCAACATCGATGTGAAAACATCGATGTTTTCATTCTTGACATCGATGATTATCGAACATCGCTGATCATAGATCATCCCTAGTCCCTAGCTTTGCTAACTTTGCTTTCTCAATGGCGGCCGATCGATTATTTTGTGATGGGTAGGAGAAAGATACTTATTAGATTCATGTAGTTTTTATATTAAATTTAAGTAGGTTAATTGTAAAAGTATGTGATAGTAATATTTTCTGTGAAAATAGCTGAACAAGTAATATAATAATGGCAGCAAAAACATCGGATTGGCGACCGGGTCCCACTGTGTGTCGTTGTTGTCTCGCAGAAGGGTGCTATAAAGACATTTCTACTGAATATTTTTGGATGGGTAAACGGGAAGTTTACGCGGAAATGCTTGCCGAGACCTTTGATTTAAGTGTAAGTACGCATGATGTATATTTAAATGTTATTTGACTATAGCGTCCATTTGCTTGAGCCATCTATTGTTAATGTAATCCGACAAAATTCAGGAGCCCTTTCTTTGGTTTACCTTGTGAATAAATCGGTACTTGCGTTTCTAGCCAGATTATAAAATCAATAATCACGAATTCAAAATTGATGATGTATGTACGACACCATATTAGATACAACTGCTTGTATTCTGAACACTTATTCAATAGCTAAAACAATTTTAAAATATTATAATATTATATGGGGTAGTGGGTACAGGAGGTAGTGGAAGTTCGTTCTTACACTGCCTCTATATCGTAACAAATACCGCTTATTAAAATTTTTACAACTATTATTAATAAATTATTTATTATTATTTGAGGGACCAAACTGTGAAGTTTCATAAGAAATAGTGTCTGTGACTGGTCATTGTGTTGAGAGAGCTGCTTGTTTTCTTACCCTACAGTCTTGTTCTCTTACATTTCCATATACACACACACACACACACACACACACACACACACACACACACACACACACACACACACTCATACACTCATACACACACTCACACTCATACACACTCACCCTCAATTACACGCGTGCTCCTCTAAATTTGAATATGCTTGTTATGTCTTTAATTTTTCATAATTTTAAGTTGTATTTTTTTTCCTTTGCTACGCATAATTGTTTTACGTAATTTCGACAAATAGCCACTTTGTTCTATTGTAAAATCTTTTGTTTGACCCCCACGAGACAGGCCATGCCTAGTGTGGGAGTCACAGAACGTTTTTGTATTTTGGCTAAGTGTTTCTGGTAAATTAATAAATTTATTATTATTATTATTTTGTCATTCTGCCATGACATATTTTGTCACTTTATTGCATAAAAGTGTATAATAGTTGCTTCATATTGTTATAATTATTGTATATGTATGTTATAAAAGGTGCAGTGCCTTAGCAATGCGAATGAAATGCGGGTTACAGGTTCAAATCTCCTACGAAATAAGTATTTGTATGGTATGTTAGTCCTTGTACATGGTAGAGCCATATTTTGGTTGTAGCACGAATGGGTCAGCTCTACCAGGGAACGTCCATGTTCTCACAGAATACTAGCATAAAATAACAGCTTAATGCTGCTGTGCCCTTTTTACTGGACGTGAGGTATTCCATCTCAGAAGTGACAATGCATCTGCATTTTGATTCTTAATTGAGCATGAATGTAGATATCTATGAGCCAAAGAATCCATATACCATCAGGTGGACTGTGTGCTCATTTGTCACCATTATCCTAAAAAAATATTTGTATATAAACTGCCTCCACAATGTAGGAAAAAATCAAAGAATGGGGTTACCGTTGTACAAAAAAAAAATGTTATGTAATTAAGAACTTTAAATTTGTATTAATGGAGATAGATATACTTTAACAATTTTTTATCAGCATGTAACCGAGAGCTAAGATGAGCTCTATGATGATTTTTCCCCCATTCATTAAATACATAAGTTTAACCCCCAAATAAAGTTACATAAGATTTCTTGAATCTCCCCCCTCTTCTTGACCCCCCCTCGCCCTCGATAAAGTTACATAAGATTTCTTGAATCCGCAACGCTGCAACGTGATAGTTATACATAATGCTCATAACTGTCTATTTCTTATAACGATCCGCAACGCATAGAGTACCTTTGAACCGCAACGCTGTAACGTTGCGTTGGCTTGGAATCGTGATTCGTGATATTAAAACATCACGCACTTGCTGCTGTACAAAAACAAATGTTATGCCGTGTACGATAAGAACGAAACTGCAGCGGGGCTCATATTGAAACGTGTAGGTTGAGCGAAGCGAAATTCTAGAAATAAGTTTATTATTATTCTTTTTCATATAGATACTTGTATAATTATTTCAAATTGTCAATGTGTCTTTTTTAATAAAGCAATTTTAAATCCTTTGCTGTTTACTATAAAATTCTACACAGTAAATACGGGTTTTTGCCATATATTGAAAAATAACACTTGTGCCCCAAAATGTAAGGATTAAACTGCATTAATAGCCTTGACCATGTTAAGATGAAATATTATTATTGACCTTCTGTCCTTCAACTTTTGAACTTGAGTTTTCATATTAATTAGATCTCTGAGGAACAAGGTGCAATAAAAATTTTGGGTGTAATATTATTATTTAAAAACTTTGCTTTATTTGCTAACTAGCTGTGCCCGCGGCGTAGCTTGCGTATATAGGTTTTACATGAAGAATTTGACATTCAGGTAAGAAAATATTAAACGATATTATATCATTACTGTATCAATATCACTTATTAGACGTCAGTGTAACAGACGTCTCTGGTTAGTGCGTATACACACTAAGCGCTCCGTCTCTATTTTCGCATACATGTCCACTATAAATTGGTAAAACAACTGAAATCTTTGCAGATACGCAAGAAGATATATGCCTTACATGTAACAGGTGCGAATAAAATTGCAGAGCAAATATTTTTTTATTAAAATTGGTCTCTCTGGTATTAGGATTAACTTGATAAATTCCGAAATTGTACCGATTTTCACCGTGAAAATATATTTATGGATATTGTAGAGCATCATAATATCAATGCGTTTCATAAATCATGTGTGTGCAACACAATGTCACGTCTATCGCACTCCTGGTCACCTAATACCACTGCCACTACATCAGTGACAGGAACGTAGCTACCGCGGTGTTCAGTAACTTTTTTTTTTAGTAAAAGGACGTCTGTCAGCGTTAATAACTATTTTATAATTGTTTATTAAATCTTGACGGATCAATTGCAATGTAACCCTAAAACTATGAACGTATGGATTTATTTCATGTAGCATCCTTTGAAGTTGGGATATGAGTTCGCTATTGAGTTGTGGGAAGTTGTGATTTCGGATATTAGTATGTTCATTATAATCTGATTCAAAATAAATTGACTATTTTACTTATATATACATATATATTTATAACTCATAATAAACTCATAATATATATCATTTAATTTAATTTATTAAGTTGAAATTGAAATTGAAAATAGATAATATCTACATTGGTTATTTGTATCGATTCGGAGTATCTTAACGCCGCAATTCAGAAAAGAATGTAATTTGTACAATGCCATCTATTACATTCGTTGTGAGAAAACTTTTTTAATTTAAGGAAAACATCTTTTTTATTGTTTACTTTGTTTTAAGTATAAATATATTATTATAGAACGTTTTTTTACACACAAATCTTTTTATTACTTTTTCTGAGATTTTATGGCGCCATTGAACAAATTAGAACCTACATTTTAAACTAATAATCATAACTTTCGATAGAATTAACCAAATTTAATAAAACAAAAATTAAATGTAACTTGAAGATACGCTTTATGATTTTTTTAACGATTTCTTTAAAAAAAAATGTTTACTTTAGATGTGATGCGTTTATAAACAAACAGACAGACAGACAGACAATTCTAAAAATTATAAAAATGTGTTTACTTAATTATTTTCATTTCCCTATAATGATTTTAGTGACAAATATTCTATACAATGTACAAAAACAGACACAACATGTTATCACCATTTTTATTATAAGTATATATTTAAAGAGAAATGGCGCTGCTAACAGCAATCAATTCTAAAAATAAAAGAGATTAATTGACGCGATTGGTACATTATTATATATATAAAACATAAAAGAACTTATAAACCAGTGTCTGCATAGTAAGCAAAACGCCTTTTTATATTACATTTGGACCATACCGCCATTTATCGATGAAATTGGTTAACTATTTCACTCTAGATTTAGTTAATAAGGTTATAATATATTTTTGTTTAATACGTATAGTATTAAAGAACGTATTAAATAAAATAATTATATTATTTTATTTAATACGTTCTTTAATACTTTTGTTTACTCCATTTTAGATATAATTATATCATTATAGAACATTATTTTACCTAATTTAATTATGATTTATGATATAGTATTAGTTTAAAATGCACTTGATGACTCAACCAACGTCACCGTTGAACAAATTCGTACCTATACTTCGTATTCATACTTCAGAGTATTTATCATAACTTTTGATTGAATGAACTGATTTTAATAAAATAAAGACTATATGTAACACGAAGATACACTTTATATTTTCCTTAATGATTCTTATGATATAAATTAGTACTTTATACGTGATACGTTAACAAACAAACAGACAGACAGACAGAAAATTCTAAAAATGGTAGAAATGTATTTAGTTACTTATTTTTAGTACTTCTCAATCACTTTTATTACAAAAATATAAAATGTACAGACGTCTGCTTTTTACATTTTTATTATATGTATAGATTCCAAGTTTATTTCGAAACATAAAGCACGCATAGTGATATTAGTGTTCATAAAAGAAGTCTAAAAACGAACAAAAGACCTTTGTAAATATTTATTTGATTTCGTGATTGTAAATATAGATATAGCTTTGTTTTGGATTGTAAAATAACAAAGAAACAATGTCGCGACAAAACACTGTGTTTTGTGGGAGTTTTTCGAAAAAAAATTGATAATTCAAATAAAAAAGCGCGTTGTAATATTTCTTAAAAGGAATTTAATTTTCAGACGACTTCAGGTTATCTGAAGTTACATTTACGGCAGCGATATATAGAAGCGTACACACAAGTTTCGTTAGAACAGCAAACGATTGCTAGATCTTCGAGACCTGTGAACACTTTGGGTGTCCTTGCGTCAGCACTAACTTAAAAGACAACTTTTTGAGCCAGGCTTCGATGTGTAATCCAACCTCCGTGATGCGATCAGCTCTACTGTACCGCAGTCTTAACACAAATACGGAAAAATGGATACCTTAATTGCTAGAAAGATGTCAAAAGATCAAAAGTACGAAGGAAAATTCATTTCAGCAACTAAATTAGTATTTACTTAGTGAACAAAAAGAATTTTGATGATAACTGTTCTATGACGGTATATTGTTAAGTTGCGGTTACATGGAAAATAGACGGTTATGAATATAGATAGTTATGATAACGTTATCCATTGTACCATAACGATAACGTTACATTATTTAGAAAAGACATAACGACACACCGCTAATATCGAATTGTACATTATAGAATATACATTATAGACATAAAATTAGATTTCTGTTATTAAATTTCAACTTAATAAAATATTACATTAGATTGGGTTTTACTCTGCTCCCCCCAAAAATAAGGGCATGTAGAAATTTTTTTTGAAACAGAAACAGATACTTTTTTATTCAATATCTAAATAATATAACTGGTACCTACTACTAGCTTGTGTCTGTTCCTAGTATTTACAGAATGAATGTCTACGTACATTACATTTTAAGGTTAAAGTTAATATATTAATTTTCTTAAATTTTTGTCTGAGGAACTCTTTAGGTTTTAAATCATAGATTGTTCTTATTACCCTCTTCTGTAAAACAAATATAATTTCAGTATCAGTCGTGTGTACCCATAGCAAAATACCATACAACATTATGCTATGGAAATAGCATAATGTCGTATGGTATATAGTTTAACTCCCCCCCCCCCCCCCCCCCTCAGGACCCTTACATAGTTAATGAATGGCCCCTAATTGCATGAATGACCATTAAACCAATAAGCACACACAGATTATAGCTATATCCTAGTCTCGTCGAGTGTTGGGGTAAAGTTCATCATTTTTAAAACTGTTTAACCTTTACAGATTGCATATTCACAATCAGGCGGGCCCAATAGCAACAGCCGTCTAATCTGTGAACCTTGCATTTCCCGGTTGCGAGATGCCGCCGACTTTAAGAGGCAGGTGGTTGAATGTGAGAAAATGTTCCTACAGCATCTGGATCCGAGCAGTTCAAGCTTATCTGCTATTGAGAGTATGTATTATTATTATTTTTTTTTTATAGGAGAGGGGGCTAACGGGCATGCGGCTCACCTGATGGTAAGTGACTACCGCCGCCCATGAACAACCGGCACATCAAGGGAATTGTAGAAGCGTTGCCGGCCTTTTAAAAAGGAGTAGGCTCTTTTCTTGAAGGTCCCTAAGTCATATCGGTCCGGAAAAATCGCTGGTGGTAAACTATTCTACAAGGAAGTTGTGCGAGGTATGTGTGGTAATTTGATGAAAGTGTGATTTTCTGTTTATAATGATGATAGTTCTTGCATCTGAAGCAGTCCTCAAAACAATATTTGTTGGTTATTATCTTATTAGCGTAATGGATAAATGTAGCAGGCTCTATGCAAACTTTTTCTATCAAAAGGTTTAAACAATTTAATAAGCAAATATTTTCTAGTAAGGGTTATTATACTACTAAAGAGTACATGACTGATTAAAACCCCTGGGAATGAGGTGATCACTGCTGTTTCTAAATGTTTTCATAACAATTGTATAAAATATTATAGAAGTAAATTATTGTGCTTTTTTAATAAAAAAAAGTCCCGCTGGGTTTTTTCCTGGTTCTTCCCAGGACAGAGGTTTGTTTTGCGAACCAGTGGTAAAAGTAAAAAATTACTCAATAAGTATTATGTACTATAATCTATATTGAATAAAAATGATTCTATTCTATTCTATGAACATATAGGACAAGTATTTGCCCACATATTTAAATAGAATAGAATCATTTTTAATCAATATAGATTACATGTAATTTTTATTTAAAGTACTGTAAAATGGGGTGAATAGAAATCGCGGGGTGAATAGATTTGATAAAGTTGTCTCTAGCTTTGTCTACAGCTTGGGAATGTCTGTTTATTACTATTGTTTATTGCGAACATTTTCCCTTTATTTTGGTAACCTTTAAATTAGTGTCAATTTTGAGGACAGTAAAGAAAAGGGCGGTTATTATAAACGTGTGAGTACAAGAGGTTTTATGCTGTGTGAAACTTTTAGTTAAACTTCAAGTAAACACTACTTGTTGTAAATTTTGTTTTTAGGGAGTTGAGTTTATCATCTATTATTTATACAAATATGAATATCGATATTGAACGATTTTATTATTTTAAATAGTAAAATCAGGATACTGGTATTTTTTCTCGAATTCGAGGTGAATGACTGAGGGGTGAATAAAAACGCCTTTGGGGTTAATAGAAACGACTTGAAGTCCCCATATTATGTAAATTTACATTTATGTTTAGTACTTACATAATTTTATAAATAAGTAATATTGCTTTTTAATCTTTACCTACAACTTAAAATAACCAAAGGTTATTAATCGAAACACTTAGTATTACAATTAGTGTTATATAGTTTAACAAACTTTGAAACATTTTTTTATTTTTTATGTTCATTACTTAAAAAAATATGTTCAAAACTATGTAAGCAGTGGCTTATTTATCTAATGGCTTTATGTCGGAAATGCTTACGCTACAAAGTAGTTAAATTACATTACTCTGGTGTTTTTAATTTGTATAATATGGAATTGTATAAATATCAGATTTACTAACTAATTATTTTTTATAATGACAATTTTGATGTAGTTATGTTTTCGTTCATTTGACTCACAAGCTCACAACCTACATACTACAACAAAAGCACATTTGACAACTCTGGCATTTTTTCTCTATTTACCCCTATGTTGTATCTATTAACCCCAGATTCCCGGTATATAGAAACAGACTACTTTTTTCTAAAATACAACGAATTTGCATGTTTTTACTCGTTTGAAGCATTAGTATTCGATAAAATACGACAAGACTCACAACATTAAAGTGTTTTATTATCATCTTATATACAATATATGTAAGAAAAACAGTGTAGAAGTTGAAAGTTGTGTCTATTCACCCCATTTTACGGTATCTATATGTAGTAGAGCCTAAGCTGCAGCTATATTTATAGTATAGTTGTAGCATTAATGGGTCGGCTTGGCCAGGGAAGGACTGCGCTCTCACAGAATACCAGCGTAAAGTAGCAGCTTAATGCCGTTGTGTTTTGTATGGTGAGTGTAGAAAACTGGAGACCCTTTTTACTGGAAATGAGGCATTTCATCTTAGTCGTCACGAGTGACAACGCATCTGCGTTTTGATAGATGTAGATGTCTATGGGCCTCAGCAACCACTTACAAGCAGATGGACTGTGTGCTCATTTGTCGAGCCGACCCATTCATGCTACAACTATACTACTAATATACCTGCAGCATGGTTCTACCACATACAAAAATCTAAATGTATGATTCCGATCTCAGCTGCACGCAGCAGTGCTGGCGCGGCAGTGCTGCTATTGTGGTGCTGCGCAGCAGTGCTGCTTGCCGCGTTGATTCCGAGCAAAGCTACAGTGTTGCTTATTCGTTCGTGTATTCATTCAGTTTCTTTGAGTTGACAACATGTCGATGGAGCATCAATTTTTTTGTTATATTGTGGGATATATCTTTCCATATATTATTGTCTTTAATTAAATTATTACGATAATTAGTATGACTGCTATTGTGAAGGGCTGGATATAAAGTCACCAAGTTAATTAATTGTTCTTCTTCGGAATCGGAGAAATTAATATTTTTGTTTTTATGTATTTATTCGTATGGCGTTCTTACAATCGTTGACAATATATTAAATTTTAAAATGAAAATTATAAAGTTATTCTATCTTTTAATTGCTGATTCCATGGGATAGCGGTGTTTTCGAGAGAGAACAGGTCTGTTGGGCAGCCGTGGTACCTTGTGAGTGGGCAGTCTCTAGCTATATGCTCAATATCCTGGACAGCAGCTCCACACTCACACCCCGGTGATTCCTTCCACCCGCACATGGACATGAAGGCATTGCTTCGCCCACATCCGGTTGTGTAAGGTTGATGGTAACTCCCATGCTATCAGGGGGTTTTGCGTTCCATTCCTGCAGCAGATGTGCACGAGATCACATGCGGTCTGGTATGGTGGGTGACATGACTTCAGACGGTGGGGTGGCGGATCAGTAAACTCCGCGTGAGCTGGCAGGTTGGGGTTTCCGTAGATCTTTTGGGCCTCTCGTAGTAGTATTTGCTGTCTTCTTAAACGGCGTGGGCTTATATGGCTTAGCACGGGAAGCCACTGGAGGGGGATACATTTTAAGGTTCCAGATATGCGTCTCATGGTCTGGTTCAACTGGGTGTCCACATGCAGCACATGTGCACTATTTGACCATACTGGTGCACAGTACTCTGCTGTTGGGTACACCAAACTGAGACCGGTTGTACGCAGCACATCGGCGCTGGCCCCCCAAGTGGTGCCCGCCAGCCTGTGCAAGATGTTGTTTCTGGTCTGGAGCTTTTTGGATAATTTGTCCATGTGCGGAGCGTACGTGAGACTCCAATCGAGAGTCACTCCCAGGTATTTCGGAGTTGTGTTGTAGTGTAACATGGCTCCAGCAAACTCAACAGTGGGCTCGTATTTTGCCATTTGGTTAGTCAAGTGAAACGCAGTTACTTCGGTTTTGGCAGTGTTTGGTACTAGTCTCCATTTCCTAAAGTATCTGTCTAATATGCTTAAGTCCTCGTTAAGGATACCTTCGGATGGTTTGAAGGTTTCGTGTTGGGAAGCTAGTGCTATGTCTGCAGCATACATAAATTTACGACTCTGCGTTTCAGGTATGTCATGTAGGTAAAGATTGAAGAGCAGCGGAGCCAAAACTGAACCCTGTGGTAATCCATTGTTCAGCTTTTTGGTACGACTTTCATTGTCGCCTAGGAAAACTATGAACTCACGGTTGCTAAGCATGCTATTTAACAGCCCCACCGCTTTTCTGCACGGTACGGCTTTCATAAGCTTGTAGACCAATCCTTGCCACCAAACTGTATCGTATGCCGCTGACAGGTCTATTAAAACAGCAACCGTTTTCAGTTTCTTTTGAAACCCTGCTTCAATGTGGGTTGTGAGGGACAACACCTGGTTTGTACAGTTGCGGCCACAACGGAAGCCAGCTTGTTCCACTTGGACCACCTTATCAATGAGAGGCATAATGCGGTTGTAGATTAGTCTGTCCAGAAGTTTGTAGACACAGTTCACAAGGGCGTTAGGACGGTAGCTCTTAGGGTTGTCTGCAGGTTTTTGGGGTTTCAATATAGCGATAATCTTCGATCTATTGAAGTCGCGAGGCAATTTGCTACGTAACAGGATATCTGAGAAGAACTCTTTCAGCCATTTCCTGCATTTCAGGCCCAGGTGCTTTAGAAACTCATTGTAGACTCCATCGAAACCAGCAGCTTTATTAGGGGGCAATAGTTTCAAGGCGCGATCGGTTTCATCTTGGAAGAATTCTCGTGACAGCTGGTAGTCAATTGGTAGCGACGCCTTGAGCTGTTTAGCGCACTGTCGTGTCGCCCGGGTATCATCCTTCCTGCCTTTAACTCGGGACACCTCCACTATTCTGTTTGCAATCGCGTTGGCTAGTGGAGCAGATCCGCCACGAAAGTTTGTTCCAGTCTTGCCTGCCAACCCATTGAGCACCCTCCAATCTTTCCTGCTGGAAGCCTTAAAATCCATTGACTCCACGGTATCGAGCCACCTATTTCGACGCCCTCCGTCGAGAGATTTCAGAAGGTCATCACCTATTTCATGGTTACCCGTGCGCGTGTACTCATCAAATAGTTTTTCGCTTTCTTCCGCCCAGGAAGGGATGTACGCCTTGCGGTAGCCTCGGGAAATGCTCTTTTTTGCTGTTGCTATTATAAGTTTAGTGAATCTCTTGTAGTTTTCGGCACAGGTCGGTATCCATCTGATAGCAGCATCCATGTCAGCGCTTAATTTGGGCCAGTCTGCTTTGTGGAAGTTCCATCGAGGCAAAGGCATGGAGTTTGTTAAGGGCATCTTAATACCAACCTCCACAAGCACAGGTCGGTGTTGGCTGTTCGGGAAGTCTGAGAGAATTCTTCGTGTGGTTTGTAATGGGGTTCGATTGATGTCACAGGTAGTAAACATTAGGTCTGGATTATAATATAATCCTTGGCATTATTTTTGTTGCAAATTTACTTATCAACATTCACGGTCTGTCGCGGCGGCAGGGCGACATTGCTGCGCAGCAGTACTGCCGCTGCATTGCTGCCGTGCTCGGAATATAATCTAATATAAACCTATAGAGAATATATGGGGGGACCAGTAGTGCTGCCTCAGCACTGCTGCATGCAGTGGAGATCATACCTTTAGTATACAATCGGTCTTGTAAAGGAACTAAAATTTTCTTTTTTATTTCAGTTACAGCCGAGGAAGTGGAAGAGGAAAAAGAATTAAAAATTGAACAGGTGAAGGAGGAAAAGCTAGGCAGCGATGAAGATTTCGATGATGGGCCCCATTTCGGCGATGATGATGACGATGATCGTAAGTTTTTTCTACTGACATTAGCGCTCGCGCTGTAAAAGCGAACCGGGTTCGGTCCCCGCCGTCACCAATGAAATTATAAATTACTTATTTACCACATAACCGACAGTCAGGAAAATAAACATCGTGAGGAAACCTGCATATGTAATAAGTTTAAAAAAAGTCCGAAGACATGTGAAGTCCGCCAAAACTCTCCGGAACAGCTCAGCAGCCTCAATGCTCTAAAACCCTCTCAGAAATAAAAGGAGGTTTGTAGTGGAGTATTGCCAGTAGAGTAAGTGAAATGCACACTGTCCATCTGATGGTATGTGGATGCTGTGGTCCATAGACACCTACATCTCTCCTCGATTAAGAGCAAAAATGTAACGTCGCTCGTCACCCTTGAGGTCCAAGATGGAATGTCTCAGTAGTCTTTGCTAGTAACAGGGTCTCCGGTTCTCTACACTCACTATACGATACGCAGCAGCTATTATTGCTGCTTTAAATCTTTCTCACGTGTTTTCCATGTTGGTAACTTTCCTTCTTCTTTTTAGGATTCCCTACCCAAAGGGTAACCAACGGGACCCTATTACTAAACCTCAGCTGTCGCTCCGTATGTCCGTCCGTCTGTCAGCGGGCTGTATCTCATAATCCGTAATAGGTAGACGGTTGAAATTTTTACAGAATGTGTCTTTTGCCACTATAACAACAAATAATAAAAATAAAACTAAATTAAAAATGGCACCCCTACTAGAAACGTGTATTACGATGGTACGGTACCCCTCATGCTCGAGTCCGACTCGCACTTGGCCGGCTATTTATCGATCTGTAAAAGTTCATTGTTCATTGGGGTCCGTCTTTCATTATAGAGAGCATTTGCTTTAATCGCCACGCTGCTGCCAATGTTGCTGGTCTGGATAGTTTATGTCTCATGTGAACGAAATGGTATACCACCAGCTTTCAGAAGCCAGAGGATCTTTCTGTGCCGTAACTACTTTTAACGACACCCAAGGGACGGATTGGGGTGAAATATTCTACCGTCCTCTTCTGTGGTGGTGACTACATGTTCAGTAACTTGTGTTACATCTTAATCATATTTTATTCAAAGTCATATACTTTAGTTTTGGAACGAAGTTCTTTATCGGACAGTACGGATTTGGCGGATGGGGGCTAGGCGACAAAAAGTAAGATTTTTCCGTCACTAACACTACTGTCACGGTGCAGACGGCTATAAGGAAGCGAGATGGAAGAATATCTATCTCCGTCGCACTTTTTCTTATCTTGTCATGAAAGAAATATTATTTTAAATGACGCTTCATTTTAATAGACGCTAATAAATCATTTATTTGTATTTGTCAATCAATAATATAGTGCGTTTATCAATAATAATATACTACGAAAGGAACTTCGTTCCAACCGAGTGTTCTACGACACTCACCCATGTTTTTTATAATAAACATTACTCTCACATTAGGATTTTCTCCATGTGCCTCCATTCAATCCCATGTGCCTGATGATGCCCTCGCACTCGCACTGACTTAGTGCCAATTGTTTGTGTTCCTTTTTTTTAATAAACATAAACATTCACACCTGTCACTCAGAGGAATAGGCAGAGACTATGGAGTTCCATTTGGCACGATCCCGACACACCTCTTTCGCATCCTCCACATCTATATACCTACGCATACACCCTCGTCGGGTAAAAGTTTTTTTTTTATAGGATTAGGGTGATAAACAAGCACACAGTCCACCTGATGGTAAGTGGTTGCTGTGGCCCATAGACATCTACGTCTATCTTCGATTACGAATCAAAATGCAGATGCGTTGTCACCCGTGAGGACTAAGATGGAATGCCTCTTTTCCAGTAAAAAGGGTCTCCGGTTTTCTACACTCACCATCCGAAACACAGCAGGGTTAAATTGCTATTTTACGCTGGTATTCTGTGAGAGCGTGGTCCTTCCCCGGTCGAGCCGACCCATTCGTGCTACAAATATACTAATATATAATATAGCTGCAGCATGGCTCTACCACATAATTAACAGTGCTTTTAACGGAAGTACCATTAACCAATCCAACTAAGCTTAAAATGCTTGTGGTAGGAGTGGTTCACGACAGTATTCGAGTGGCAGATTCGAACTCACCAGTTTTGAGTTTCGCAGTCTGTATCCTTCTGGTTCAAATGTGTGGTATGTTCTTAATATAGGAAAAACAGACCCTGGAAAATTATTACACTTCGTTGCTATATGTGTTACGAAAGACTAAGTACAGCCTTTAGTTCAAATGTGTGGAATGTTCACAAAAAAGGCCTCTATCCCTTATATAACAATATATTTATTTATTTATTGAAACTAAAGTAACAACTATCATGACAGGAATTACCTAACGTACTGTCACATATTTCTTTTCATGAGTAACAAAAATGTGGTCATTAACTGTACTAATTGTAAACAATCCTAGTCTAGTGAATTTACTCATGGTGCAACAGAATAGGTCAATGTCATTGTACGAATTCATCATTAATGTCAATGTATATGTACACTTAATACTATAATTTAGTAATCTATTAAAGATTGCTGTTTCCTTAGTAGTGAACTTCAACAGATTTAAGAATTTGCACTGCTGTAGCGTTCATTAATATAGCTGTATTTTTACTAACATGCATTTATAACTAGTGTATTTCCATTTTAGTTGACGATCAACCGTTAACAAAACTGGCTAGTAAGCTCCCAAAAAAGGAGTCTGTGGATCTGTTAGACCTTATCGATAACGCCAAAGTGGCGGAAAAGCGAAAGTCAACGGTCAAAGTAAAAGCGACGCCCATCAAGAAAGTAAAACTGAAAAAGGAGACCAAAGCATCGGCCAGTAAAGCTAAACCGGAGAAGAAAAAGAAAGGTAGGCATGGAATTCTTATATTGAGAGTCGAATAGAGAGTTGCTGTGAAAGTTTGTTTTGAACAATAATTATTGAAAGCCAGAAGTTGGAACTGTTCATTGATGAGGGTAGTTTAGGTAGTCAATCAATGCATTTTAAATTTCATAGTATAAAGTAAGAGGCCTATATTCACCACCGAGCATGTGGGGTAAAGTACCAATTTACCCCACATGCTCGGTGGTGAAGTTTAACATCATGAACAACTTGACTGACTTTCATGACTAAGTTTTTAAAATATTTTAATAATGTATATGTGAAGTCTTCCAACATGTATGCAGACAATGCAGTAAACTCTTTTCAAATTTTGTGATCTAAGAATTAAATGAAACAGAAACATTACAAATTAATTTTAACTCAATTTTTTTGACTTTTAACACTGGTTCGGAAGAAATCTCTGTACTGGGCAAAACCAGCAGCTGCAATTTAGTAGGACTTTATTTTCAAAGATAAATGTATAATTAAAAAAAAAGGGGCTGTACAAACTATTTATAAAACTTATTTAAAAAAACAGCTTGGAAGCGACCACATCAAACCACATTCATATCATATTGTCAATGATGTATTTATTTATATTATATTAACCGTTTTTTAAATTTATATAACATGCTAATAGACTGTGCTTATTAAAGCATATACATTGGCCCATTCATAAATTACCGACTCTGTGGAGTTGATTAACTGGTATCACTAGCTTGTGTTTGTTCCTTAATATTTACGCATTGTATATCACAAGATGCAACTTTTTAATCTATATAAACCTGGAAGCATAATAGTATTTATTTTCTTAAATGGGTTTCCTCACAATGTCTTCTTTTAACTGTGTAAATTGGCTTTTTTGCAAGCCCATATAATATAACACATTCACAGCAGTTCATCTATTCGATGTTTCATTGACAGATATTTTACTGTAAAAATATTGTTTAGGCTTTTACACAAACACTAGAATTTACACAAACTTTCATTTTAGTAAAGAGAGAAAGAGAAGGCAGTGAGAAAGAGAAGGGAAATGCATGTGAGAATAAAAAGAATTTCTCTTTTATTATACATTGACAAATGAGCACACAGTCTTCTTGATGTTATCATGTAAGTGGATGCTGTAAACCACATCCATCCATCTTAAAATAAGAAGCAAAATGCAGTTGCGTTGTCACCATTAATAAGGGTTTCCATTACTGTTTGCTCGTCATACGTAATTCACGCTGATATTTTGTTAAATAGAAAAAGAAATACAAACATATATATTTGACTAAGTTTTAGAGATAGCATATTAGGCAAAGTTAAGAGAGAGCAAAAGTTTACGAGAGAAAAAAAAACTTGAAGTGTGACAAATAACTTACCTGATGGTAAGTGGCTTCTACAGCCCTTGGATACTCATGAACTACTAAAATGAGTGCTAAATTATGCTTTTATAACTTAAGGTTAAAATGGAATGCCTCACAGCCTTAATTATATTGGCACTTAGACTTTGAATTGGAATGAAGCAGTAAATGCATTGCTGATAGGTTTGGGAGGGTCCCCCTGCATTTTTTTTTATAGAGTAAGGGTGACAAACGAGACACAGTCCACCTGTTACCGTCTACCGTCGTGAACCACTTCTAACACAAGCATTTTAAACTTACCAGAAGTGGTTAAAGAGAATATTAGTAATGTTTAATATAGCATTACAAGTATTTAAAAAAAAAGTGGTCTCTGCCTACCCCTACGGGAAAGAGGCAGATTTGTTGTCACCGCTGAGGACTAAGATGAAATGCCTTATTTCCAATAAAAAAGAGTCTCAGACACTTCTAGATAAAAAAAGAGTCCAACCAACTAGTGATTATTTCTTCCTTATTTAACCCATAAGCAGTCCTCCGCTGGCAAGTTCATCTCCGTAAAAGGGAGTATTTCCAATAATCCCAGTAACAAACATCTTGAACCTATGATGCTGCTCCGTCCCCACTCTGAGTTATCTTTATGAGATAACTCTGGTGTCAAGTTGGCAAGTGGCAATGAGCTTCATGCCAAATCCACTCTAGACTTTTTACTCACAATGTAAATATGAAATTTATTAATAACTTGACGACAGCGCACCCTATATATATATATATATATATATTATGAATATGAGATGACATTTGTTAGAGATGCAGGAATTCGATGGATGCAGGTGGCTCAGGACCGTGCTTTGGGGCATTCCTTGGGGAGACTTATGTTCAGCAGTGGACTTTTTGATAGACTAATGTATGAATGAATGATGAAATAATGAATAATATTTATTTATATATGTAACGCAAGATGTTCGCAGTGTGGTTATGACTTAACAGAATGGGACAAAATTGTTCTGTAACTATCGCCTGAGGTTGGTAAGCGTGAAAGATGAAGGGATGTCTGTCATAGTTGCCGTGCCGTGCAGGCGAGGTGACAACTGCACTTATTTGTTATTTTTATTTGTTATCAGCAAGATGCCGCTTGCCATCTCCTGTTACGGTTTTCCTCTGTCGCCTCTTACATAACCCACGGGACGATATGAACCACTACATAGAACACATATACATTATTAACATATACATACATTGTTGAAAATATATTTTAATTTTACAAAATTAGTGTTTACAGTCATTACTAAAATTATAAGTTTATGGTAGAAAATCTGTCAAAAATAAAAAAAATTTAAAGCATGTTAGTGTGTATATAGACTTAAGAATCGTATGGACATGTCTCATGGTTGAAAATTACTTTAACAATGTTTGAAAATCAAATCAGGTTTTAATCTATATTGATACAGATATGTCTTGTGTTTTATATTTAAAACATAACAGAGCAGCAAATGTTATTGTTTTTGCTTGTGTTTCCCATTTTAGGGACATCGGACGATGGTCATCAGATGAAGAAACTATATACTTATTTTAAATAAAATATGTAGTATCGCCCTATATCAGCTTATTGTTATAAAACACTGATAAATAAGACATCTGGTACTGTGATTGACATTCTGCTTTAACAAGTGTAGTAACACTCCCTACAACGGGAGAGTCCCAAGTCCAGCAGTGAGTTTTTAAGGGCTAATGAAGCAAAAGAAGTGACTAAGAAGTTTGCAGTACACTTTTTGTTAAGCGGCCACTGCAGCCCAAAGTGCCTACCGCATATATCATATAAAAATCCTGTAGTAGGTGCTAAATCCCTAAGGTGCAAGTTGGAAAATCTCATAGCTTGTTATAATAACGGCTCTCTTAATTGAGGACGCACTGCTGATTAGGCTTTTGAGTGATACAAGTGTTAACGGAAATGTATAAAATTCCTAAAATCGTACGGAAATGTGTGAAATAAATTATATTAGTATTATGTTCAGAATATAGAATAAAACACCTTGGTTGAATATTGTTATCTATTAAGCTTGGTAGCATTACAAAAGACAAGTGTCATGAGTGAATATTAAATTACCTACATTCAATTTACTTTATTAATGAACAAAGTAAACAAGTACCCCCAAATAGAATAACAATAAATCTTTGAATATGACATACCTTCCCCATTAGTAAGTAACCTAAACAATATAATTATTTAAACAAGATACATAACACTTGAAATCAATCAGTGTAATATAAGATATTAATACACATATATAAGCTTAAGATAAATAAAGATTTTCTCTATTAGTGTTTGATCTTTCATATGGTGTTTTAGAATGTAAACTTGACTTATGTTTTATCTTTCTACTTGTTGGAAGTGTTGTCTCTGCTGTGGGTGGTATTCCTAACATCTCTGCCCATTTATTAGAGTCTGGAATCTCAATTATTATATCAGTGTCTTGACTACTTTCTTGATTTTCTTCATTGTTGACACTATCTGAACTCTCAGGACATACACCCTCTACTGATTCAGCGGTTCTAATCATTCTTTGTCCCTCCTGCATTTCAGAATCCTCACAACTAATATTAGGCCCTTTTTTAACTAACTGATCAATATGTCTATTGATTATTATACCATTATTGGTTCTGATCTCATAACTTGATGGCCCTTTTTTGTTAATAACTTTTCCTGGCAGCCATCTTGGGCCAGCACTGCTATAATTGCGGTACATAATCTCCTGACCTACATTAGTTTCCCTGTTTTTCCTCTGACTGTTATTGATAATTTGTTTTTCGATTTTCTCAGTTTTTGCTGAATCTGGATGTATAGTATCTAAAAGTGTACGTAAACATCTCTTCATTAGTAGTTCAGATGGGCTCTTATTGGTTGCGGTGCATGGTGTAACTCTAAGACCAAGCAACAAATTTGGTATTTTAGTGTCCCATGCTAGATCCTCCATTTTGCACAGTTTGTCCTTAATTGTCTGTACCATTCTCTCTGCCAACCCGTTTGTAGATGGGTGGTATGGTGCTGTAGTTATATGACGTATGTTATTAGCTTTTAGGAATTCATTCATTTCTTTTGAGACAAATGATGGTCCATTATCAGAAACCATCACTTCACATAAGCCATGTGTTGCAAATGTTGTTCTCAAAAGTCTTATAACTGTCGATGAGGTAGTGTTATTTACCATAAATAATTCTGGCCAGCGTGAGTATGCATCCACTATGATTAAAAAATATTTTTTATGATATGGTCCAGCAAAATCAATATGAATCCTTGACCATGGTTTTGTGGGTGTAATCCATACATGACTGGATTTTTGAGGCATATGGCGATTCTCTAAACATTTCGGACAGCCTCTTACCAGTGTCTCTATATCCTCATTAAGATTTGGCCACCACACATAGCTCCTTGCAAGTGCTTTTGTTTGCACTATCCCTGTGTGTGTTTTATGCAACATTTCTAAAGTTTTACGGCGCATTAATTTTGGTACTAATACACGGCAGCCCAATAATATACAGTCCTCTTGTAGTGATAACTCTGCACGATGCAGCCAAAATGGGCGTAAATCTGCGTCTGTTATTCTAGCAGGCCAACCACGTTGAACATAATAAATAACCTGAGATAAAGTTCTATCGCGTTTCGTTTCTATAGCTATGTCTTTAGCATTAAATGGAAAATCCTCTGGAGTCTCAGCCATCAACAAAACTTCAGACAACTGTTGTTCTGGTTGTTCGTTGACTGGATGTGGCCATCGACTTAGACTGTCTGCATTACCTATTTGTGATCCCGGTTTATATACAATCTCATAATCATGAGACATTAAAGCAATCGCAATCCTCGTCAATCGAGGAGACAACATATTTGACATTGGTTTTTTAGGGTTAAATATACCAAGCAATGGTTTGTGGTCCGTAATTATCCGAAAATTACGACCCATGAGGTAATTATGAAATTTTTTAATGCCAAACATAATTGATGTGGCTTCTTTATCTAACTGAGAATAACGTCGTTCATGTGCATGAAGGGTTCTCGATGCCATTGCTATTGGCCGTTCTTGGCCATCCTCCATTTCATGTGACAATACTGCTCCTACCCCATATTCCGAACTGTCACAGGTAAGAACTACTGGCTTATTTACATCATAATGAACTAGAGTTAAATCAAATGCGAGTAAGCTTTTAGCCATGTCAAATGAACTTTGCTCACGCTCAGACCATGTCCATGTCTGTGAAGAGTCTAATAATCGATGCAATGGTTCAAATATTGTCGCTTTATGAGGTATGAACCTTTCATAAAAATTGTACAACCCGAGAAATGCTTGCAGTTCTCGTTTATTTTTGGGTGCTGGAGTATTTACTATAGATTCGACTTTACTTGGTGCAGGATGTATTCCCTCAGAATCGATAACATAGCCTAAAAATTCGACTTTTTCTTTAGCAAATTGACATTTCATTTTATTTAAGCGTAATCCTGCCCCTTCAATTCGATCTAGTACTAAATCTAATCTTTTTTGCATTTCTAACATAGTACGACCACATATGATTATGTCATCTATCAAAACTGCCACTCCTGGAATGCCAGCCAGTAAAGAAGTCATTAAGCGCTGGAAAATTCCTGGACTTGCTTTTACCCCAAAGGCCAACCTATGCACTGTATATAAACCCTTGCACGTGTTTAATGTTAGAAGCTTTGACGTATTATCATCCACAACTACTTGTGTGTAAGCTCTATCTAGGTCTAAAGTTGTGAAAAATCTTCCTCCAGCTATGGTAGCGAAGACTTCATTTGCCGTGGGCATGGGATAAATATCCGACTCTGTTGCTTCATTAACTGTACTGCGGTAATCTCCACATAAACGAATCTCACCAGATTTTTTTATTATTGGCACAACTGGTGTGGCCCACTCCGAAAAAGTCGTTGGATGTAAAACTCCTTCCCTTTCTAGACGATCTATTTCCATCTCTACTCTTTGCTTTATAGCAAATGGTACAGGACGTGCTTTTACAAATTTTGGAATAACTCCTGGTTTAATGTGTATTGTTACTGGATGTCCACGGTATGTACCGAGTCCATCTTTGAATACCTCTTTATGTTTCAATAATACACTATCCATTTCCAATAACTCAGCACTGGAAACATAATTGACATTCATAGTAATGTTAAGAGGGTTCAGCCAGTCTCGACCCAGAAGGTTGGGCCCATTACCCTTCGCTACAATAACACATAGGTCCTTCGAAATATTCTTGTAACACACAGGCAACGTAATTTGCCCAAGAAGTTTGACCGGTGTTTCAGTCCAGGTCCGCAACGATATTGCAATAGGTTGTAACACAGCATCCGATAATTGAGAGTGTAGTATGTGCCATGTCTGCTCGTTAATTAGCGAAAAACTAGCTCCTGTATCAACTTGCATATGGATTGGTACGCCTGCAAGTGACAACTCAACTTCGTATGGTGGGACACGGCTATTAGTATGAACGCAATAAACTCCATTTAAATGATCATCTGCTTCTGATATAAACTTTATTTGCTGAGAAGAATTCCTCTTCTTACTTATGCAAATCTTCTCCAAATGTCCTTTTTTCTTGCAATACCGACACACTGTATTTACAAAACGACATTCTCCTGAATGGCGGTCACCGCAACGATAACAAAAGCGGACATTTGCTCTTGATTGTACAGCATTTATATCCATCGGTTCACTTGTACCACTCGCTGAACTGTATGGTAATGCTAGTTCTGACTGAGTCATAGCTCCTGTTGTGTTGCCTTGAATCATACGAACATCTCGCCCTGCACTTTCGGCTGATAACATCGCATCAACTACATCTTGATAACGCAAATTGTCTCGTTTCAATAACTCATATTGCAGTTTACTGTCACACATACCGCATACCAGTCTATCCCGTAACATTCTTTCTAAATCAGTAAAGTTACACCCCGAACTTAGTTTTCGTAAATGAGCAATGTATTCTGAAGCACCTTCATCACGTTTTTGATTGCAATTATAAAATTTATAAGACACAGAAATTTCGTTAGGTTTTGGGCTATAATGATTTGTTAAAATTGTTTCTATTTCACTGAATGTCACATCAACCGCTTTTTTTGGAGTAATTAATGCAAGTAATGTTTCGTAAACTCGTGAACCACACACTGTGAAAAAATTTGCTCTTTTAGCAGAATCTAATATGACGCCGTTAGCCTCGAAACAAAATTTTAAACGGTCTAGATAATTGTCCCAACTATCTGTTTGAGGATTGTACTCATCGAATTTCACTGATTTTATGTCCATTTTTAACACTTTTCACCACTCGTCGCCAATATTATGTTCAGAATATAGAATAAAACACCTTGGTTGAATATTGTTATCTATTAAGCTTGGTAGCATTACAAAAGACAAGTGTCATGAGTGAATATTAAATTACCTACATTCAATTTACTTTATTAATGAACAAAGTAAACAAGTACCCCCAAATAGAATAACAATAAATCTTTGAATATGACAATTAGACACATTATTTCTTAGGATTTTTTTTATAGGATAGGGTGACAAACGAGCACACAGTCCACCTGATCGTAAGTGGTTGCTGTGACCCATTGAGATGACATGTAGACATGTAGATACATCTATCCTTCATAAAGAATCAAAATGCAGATGCGTTGTCACCCGTGAGGACTAAGATAGAATGCCTCTTTTCCAGTAAAAAGGGTCTCCGGTTCTCTACACTCACCATACGAAACACAGCAGCATTAAACTGCTATTTTACGCTGGTATTCTGTGAGAGCGTGGTCCTTCCCCTGTCGAGGCGACACGTTCGTGCTATAACTATACTACTAATATAGTTGCAGCATGACTCTAACCTGTGTAAAATCTATACATTTCCTAAACTGCAATCGGAAATACAATACATTCAAGATGTTAATATTATATTTTATTTACGAAATTATTTGTTACCTGATTGTCTCAACGAGAGTCTTAATAAAAATTCTGTTTCTCAGTTTAGCAACATGTTTAAATGATTTTGTTCACAGAAAGCATTATTTTTTATATATATCCTAATATTTATCGGAATTTTATACAAATCCTAGGAAATGTTTACATTTCCCAGGATATGTGTGTATTAAATAATCTTTGAAACAATATTTTATACAATTCCTAGGTTTTTAAATTATACATTTCCGGTAACACAAGCATTAATAACAAATTTTGTTGTTTGGTGATAGTATACATCATTATAACCTATGTATTATTTCTCCAAATTATTGATGATCGAAGGTTTTCTTGGGGAGTTTCTGGGTGGGGTTCCAGTGATCGGTCGGTCGTTAGACCCTTGCCGGCATGTTGAACTGTTACTATTAACTACACTACAGATACTGTTAACTAATTACTAGCTAACTCTGCAAAATTCACTCTAGACTTTAGTTACGATAAATATGAAATTAGTTTCACTATTAAGGAAAACCTTTTTAAATTCCCCACGTAACTTATGTATTAAAAGTTAGGTTCAGCAGCGAACTATTTGATACCAATGATGTACGTAAGAGACGTCATAGTTAAGAAGAAAGAGAAATTCATTTCGTCACGTCGGTGTTGTAAAAGTCGACTCTGGGAAATGCCTGAAAAGTTCTTGCTTACGCCATGATAGTAATAATGTTACAATTTATAAGAAGGATAGGAGTTTCAAAATGTACAAGAGCAATAAACCAATTAACGCATAACTATTACAGATAATAAAAATTGTAAATTATTTTCGTTTAGATTTGATATTTCTAAATTTGAAATGGGTGAAAGCTCTCAATTTGATAAAACCACTTGTGACTGCACTTTTAAATCAATAAAGACATTTATTTTATACAACAAAAACAGAAACGCCTTCGTTTGTTTAGACGCGATTAAAATAGAGGGCGCTTAATAGTTTGTCTTTATGACTAGTTTAAGAACGTGAAGTGTTTATATCTAAACATTAAAATATTATTGGTGAATATTTCGATTAAGCAACCAATTTTAATACATATTTGAAATTATGCGAGGACATGGTGGAATGTATTAATTTTCCTACAAATTTCACATTAAATAATTAAATTTTACAAGTAATAAGGAGGCATGCCTTCAGTGCAGAATAATCCAGGTAAGTACTGTATGATAGATTGTGTTTTAAGCTCTGTGACAAATTGGGTTTTATGTTAGAGACATATCCATACGAAAAGGCTCTGAAATACTGGCCAAGACGTTGTGAGAGTCATGTGAACGAGTAACAATAACTATGACGAGAAAATATTTTTACTTATTGGAACTATGTGATTGGTATTTGATAATTTTCAATCTAGCAGTTTTTGAACACGTAACTAAATCCTTTTTTTATTATATGATCTGTCAAAAAGGTTTATTTGTAGAAGTCAGACTGCTAAAACTACCAAATTATAATTAAATAACACATATTAAAATACTACTACTTTAGTAGTGTTAGAAGTCTGACTTCTAAAACTACTAATACTTGGGGGCTATGTATGCTAGGGTAAAAGCCTTTATTTCGAAGATAATCGGCGTTTATTGCCGATAATAGATTTTTTACGATGTAGAGCCATGCTGCAGCTGTATTTTGGATGCAACACGAGTGGGTCCACTCGACCGGGGTTATTGCAGCCCATGCACACCTGCAAACAAAGAAGGTTACAATAGCGTTGTCACCTTTGAGAACTAAGTTGGAATACCTCGCACCCTATAACTATACTGGCTCTCTTATACCCTTCAGCTCGGAACATAGCAGTGCACGTACTGCTGTTCGGTGGCAGAAATATACGTAAGAAAGTGGTACCTACCCAAATGGATTCTTCGGTTGAAAAAGATTCCTTCCTCCTAGTAGTTTATTACATTATAATATCTCCTCATTTTCATAATTGTTTTAAATCATTTATTACCACAAGGATACATTTTGGGACCGATACTATTTAATATTTATACGATTGACATATGTTGAAATAAATATAATTAATTGTGTGTCTTTAACTAAGTTAAATATTTTATTGAATGCGTATTCTTCTACCTAAACTCGTTCACTTAACTCAGGACAACGATATTTCAAATTTCCAATCGTTTATTGCTACATTTTCTAACTTAATGACAAACGTTTATACGCTAAGCGTATTGATCTCAAATGCGATTTGTGATTTGCAATTAATTAAGTTTAGTGTTATTTTAGAACATGCTTAAATATAGTCATTTTGTCTTAAACTATTCAACTCAAATTAAAACCTCTTAAAATATATATAAACCTAATCAAACTTTGCACTTGCTGATACTGTTTTATTTGTTTATAAACATATTCAGGCTTTGATTATAAATTGTCTTACAACTGCGTTATGATTATTTAGATATACGCATACTCTCTGATAATAGGAATGTTTTCATCTTAAATAAGAGGTGAAATTCTGTATCGAAATGCTAAAAAAGTAAAATAGTTGTTACGACGAGCTAAACTACGATTATCTCAAACGTATCCGCGATTTCTCGAGATTTTTGAGTGCATGTGGTAGTGTACCTCATTAATTGACAACTCAATAATCCGTTGACGATTGAATTAAATGTCATATCCTACAAATAAGGAAGTATTTTATTTTAAATAAAGGAGGAAAAGATTTCTACATAGTCAAAGTTTATTGATGTTTGAATCTAACGTCATAAAGTATTAATATAAGGACAGAAATAATTGCATCATTTGTGGCAAACTAACATACTAATTTGGCTACTATGAGGCTGTCGATATAAAAAAAAAACTCATTAGAAACTTCTCTTCAACCGGTGGGATACAGAATGCAGATGGCTTATGCCCCACATCCGAGCGAAGAATAAATAAATAAAATGGTGAAGACTGCGCAAGACAGGATTGTATCCAAGGCATGGGTATCAATGAATCGATTGCAGCTTCATTTTCGTGTATGAGAAAAGTTACATTCATCTTAAAAAAAAGAAAACGTGATAAACAAATGCACTAACTGAAGTGATTGTCATAAGACAAGCACATCAGTTTTCAATGAAGTATCATTGCCGCTCCTGTTGCCAACTGCACCGAAGGAATAGCTCCTAGATCTTCCTCCGCTAGGTTATTAACCTCCTTATTGAAAGTCACTTTAAGCACGCGAAAGTAAAACTTATAAGGAGTTTTAGGGACATCATTTGGCTTGTCCATAACGTAGTTATCGGTTACAGTGGCGTCAATGTGGGGCTTTATCTATGGATGTGCTTGGTTTTCACTAGCAGGGTTTTATGTTGATCACAATAAAAAAGGAAAGCTGTTGTTATTCCACGATGGTTAAACAACATATTATGTAACTTTTACATTTTAAAATGTTCGTGTTATATCTATACAAATTTACCTTATAACTTTAATCTCTTTCTACGTGGTAGAGCCATGCTGCAGCTATATTATGGTTGTAGCACGAATGGGTCGGCTCGACCGGGGAAGGACCACGCTCTCACAGAAAACCAGCGTAAAATAGCAGCTTAACGCTACTGTGTTTCGTATGGTGAGTGTAGAGAACCGGAGACCCTTTTTACTGGCAAAGAGGCATTCCATCTTAGTCCTCACGGGTGACAACGCATCTGCATCTTGAGTCTTTATTGAGGATAGATGTAGATGTCTATGGGTCACAGTAACCACTTACCATCAGGTCGACTGTGTTCTCGTTTGTCACCCGATCCTATAAAAGAAATCTAATTGTAATTTGAGTCCGCAGTTGAATTTCTGACAATCCTTAAAAGTTAGTATTGATTAGATCGGTTAAATAGTTAAAGATAGGTATATCAAAATTTTCTACGATATTGGGTCCGGTAGTACGGTCAGCATATACATGCAGGTTTGGTATATCAAGTCTGATTATGGATCCTCATTACTCTGTGTTCTATTCTTATCGCAGTATCTGGAACACGATTTGCTCAACGCTCATTACTTTCGTTTCAGTGCTGGCTGTTACTGCTAGATTTTTTTTTATAGGATAAGGGTGACAAACGAGCACACAGTACACCTGTAGTAAGTGGTTGCGGCGGCCCATAGACATCTACATCTATCCCCGTTTGCCAATCAAAATGCAGATGGGTTGTCACCCGTGAGGAATAAGAATGCCTCTTTTCCAGTAAAAAGGGTCTCCGGTTCTCTACACTCACCACACGAAACACAGCAGCGTTAAGCTGCTATTTTACGCTGGTATTCTGATAGATGTGTGTCTGAAATGCTCCCCAGAGATAAAGTCCCCTGATTTGTATCCATCCGGACCTACCTACATACCTATCTCTTATAGTTAGGTATAATCTAATAAGTAAACGCGATGTAACTGTCTAAAAACATACCACATCTGACCATAGGCTTTCTCCAATTATAGATATAGGTGCTGGGATTTAATTGCGTATTATGTGAGGTGCTTAGTGCTTTTGGTGTTGTCGTACCAATAAAAATTGACAAATCATGAATAGGTAAAAACATTTTTGGTTCGGAAAAGCGCAGTGTAGCGGCGGCGCATAATTCACTAGCTCATACCATCCCGCGGGAGCCGTAAGAGGCAGGGAAACTGTAACAAGAGATGGGCAGCAGCATCTTCTTGTTAAGAGTTTAAGTAATAAAAATATGCCAATACCACTGCCACGCGTGGCAAATCTCTTTATACGTATAATAATCAATCGCTGTCCGATAGTCTCGCTACAACTCGAAAATGGCTCGTCTAAATTTGATGAAAGTTTTTGCTTGTATTCGAGTGGGTCCTGGATGGCTTAGATTCACAATTGGACCCGGTAGTTCTATTGTCGAGATCCAGAAATTACCATTGCATTTTTTGCATTTTAACATTTTTATGTAAAAGAAAAAAAATTACGAAATGTTTTTTATTTTTTTATTAAAGGTCTTAAAATAACCTATTATTCTTCCATTTACTATATCTGAAAATTTTTCATAGTTTTTTAGATATATGATGAAGTAAGTATAAAATATCCTTAGATTCTGTTGATGTATTTAGTAGGAACTCAAAATTGTCTGTGGCAATTTTAAGTAGCGGTCGGTCACGTGCTTGGTATTAAAAAATAGTGAAAACATTTACAAAGTATTAAAACACAGCAGCGTGCACGCTTCTTGTCGTTTTTCATTACTTTCTCAATGAAAAAGAGTATACTTATTGGATGGACGTTGGGAGATACTTATTTTAAAAACGAAAACGCATCAATCATCACAGCCTAGGAAGAACAAGCAATATATTGTATATGTAGGCTTTTCTGAAAAGCCGACATAGACAATAAATTGCTAGGGTTGTCAGAATAGGAAGTAATAAAAATACTGATGTTATTTATTTCACGTTTAAACAAATTAAATAAGTTAATGAAACTGTAGGTTCAACTTAAATAATGACAATGCGGCGAAGGTGGAACACCATGGGGTGTTAGTCAATACAACTCCGATATAACCCGCCCTTGCCCGTGCAAGGTATGCGTTAATATTCCCCATGTATTTCCCATTAATAAAATGGCGCTGGTGGAAGTAGAGATAGGCTTTGATTTTTAATCGAATAGAGCTTTACGTTCGACATGTGCACTCCACGTTGAGCGAGCGAGAGAGATGGATATAAATGTTTTGTCCAAACTTAACTTACAGTTCTGAAAACTACATCTAAATTGGTTCAGACATTGTGAAGATTAGCGCATACAAACGCACAGACAAAAGACAGTATGTTTAAGATATTATTGATGTATAGATTAATAACCCAAACAAAACTTTTTAGTCCAATTAGTTGTAACCAATTATTTAGTAGTGGCACAGCCCAATCGAAAGACAAAGACGACGAAACGGAGGCTACAAAGAAAATGTTTTCTTTTTTAGAAGAGTGCGATCCCGTGAGGAGGAATGCGGAGATGCTCATAAAGTATACGTCTGCAAGTCCCTTCCGTGTGAGCGTGAAGAGCATAATGTGCGTGTACTGCGGTGATATGTTCGAGGATCCGGAAGAGTTCAGAGCCCACATGGTGCGAGATCACGAGAAGTTCCGCGTAAACATGGCCTTTGCACGGCTGCCCAAATCTGAATATGTTAAGATCGATATCACAGATATGTGCTGCAGGATATGCCTAAAAGAGTACAAAAATCTTCTGGCGATTGGAGCGCATTTGAGAGACGCCCACGCTAAAGATGTTTGTATAGATTCGCCGCTGGGCGTGATGCCTTACCTCCTCGACAAGGACAAATGGAACTGCGCAGTCTGCGGCAAGAACCTTCCTTCACTGTTGCACCTAAACAAACACACCATAACTCACTTCCTGAGTTACGTGTGTGAAATATGCGGCAAGAGTTACATCGCATCCACGGGCCTGCTGACGCATGTCAGGTCGAAGCACGAAGACGAGTACAAGGCATATTGTAAACGTTGTCAGGTGATCTTCCCCTCGATGAAGGCGAAGCAGATACACAAGAGGACAGACAAACGTTGCATGACCCACTGCTGTCCGGAGTGCCCGGAGAGGTTCCCGAGCTACGAATATAAACAGAAGCACATGGTCGAGGCGCATGGTATGAGCCAGAAGGAATACAGTTGCCCACAGTGCCCATTGACTTTCAACTATCGTCAGGCGTTCTACGGCCATTTTAAGAAGTCGCATTCCGCCGACTGCATAGTGTGCATGCAGTGTGGACATAAATTTTCCAGTATGTCTAAACTGAACCGACATATGAAGAAGCACGGCACTTAATTGTGCTCATGCAAGTGTATTTTGTAGTTAGTAGTAGTGTTGTCCATTTTGATTATCGGTAATCGGTCACCCTAAATTGATATCTATCGAAATAAATTATGTGAACTTTAAAGATGTTTCTTTAATGTATTTATGAATATAAGTCCTAATCTAATGCGTACGATTATCAAAAAAGTTCAAAATCCTAGAATATTAAGAAGAGCACAAGTCATTAAAAAAAAATCATCCGTCGTCTATCTGCCGTTGCAAGAGCAAGGTGTTTCAGTTTTCGATTCAAATCGACATGGTTTCGAGACGGATTTTTATAGCATATTCCCTACCCAATTCGCATCGAGAAACACTGTCGAGTTACGATCAATCGTAATTAGTGGCGTTAGGATTCGTCCAATCCGGATTATTTGATTCAGGGTAATTTTTATCAATTTAAAAATACACTTTTTTTTTTAAATATTTTTATCACATATAGGACAAACTTATCAAGAAAAAGCATTCCCGTTGTTTGCGACTACTAGCGTCGTCTAACTGCGGATGACATTTAAAGACTTGTGTTCTAATAATTCCAATTTGAACGAGCATTCGATTGTGTGCTAGCTATGGTTTCGGGAGTACGAAGTAATCTAGAATTAAAATAAAATTCGAATGATTCAGGGCACTAGTCGAATTTAGATGCCTTAAAATAGAGTCTACCGTCTACAATCTAAATAATAAGTTTAAGTAAGAAGTTTTATTCTTTCAATTCTTCCAAGTTTTTGTATTTTTTTAGAAGTAAGTTCACTAAATACGTAAATAAACTATGATAGATGCTACTCTATGTTTCTGATGAGCATGTAAGCGATAAGATATTTGAGCGATGAAATTTTCTGAAATCTGGGCTACAGCGGAGTTTTTCTGTTCTAGACGAGACGGAAGATGCTGTGCGTAAGAACGCGGAAACGCTCGTACATTACGCGACCGCTTACCCGTTCAAAGTGATTGAAAAGTCAATATTATGCGTCTACTGTCACGAGATGTACACGGACCCCGAAGTCTTTCGGATGCACATGGACGACGACCACAGAACTTTCAATCTGAAACTTGCCTTCCACAATATACCTAAAGCCGACTACATCAAGGTCGATTTGTCTGATCTCCGCTGCAGGCTATGCGACGAAAAGCTCCCAGACCTTAACGCGACAGCCGACCATTTGAACACTGTACACGGCAAGACGATAGACACGAGCGCGAAACTGGGCCTCATGCCGTTTGTGTTGCAAAAGGGTTGTTACGTTTGCGCTGTATGTCAGTTGAAGATGCCTTCGCTGACAGTTCTATGTCGGCACACGATAACTCATTTCCTGGCCTTCGTTTGCAAAGTGTGTGGAAACAATTACTTGACTGCCGCGGCATTGATAAGACACGAGCGCGCTAAGCATCAGTCATACGAAGTTTCGTGTAAGATATGCGGCGAGGTGTTCCCTAATGCGGATGCGAAGGACCTTCATAGGCGTATTGGCAAAAAATGCTTCCCATACACGTGTAGTAAATGCCCGGAGCGATTTATTGACTGGAACACCAAGATGTACCACTTGCATTATGACCATGGGGAGGGCAAGAGGGACGCGTATCAGTGCGACGCGTGTAGTGTCATGTTTACTGAAGAGAAAGAGTATTATATGCATCTCAAATTGGAGCACTCGCAGGATTCTGCCGTTTGTACCAATTGCGGCTTGAAGTTCACTTCCATGTACGCTCTAAAGCGACATCTTGCGGATAATTGCGAATAAAATTGTCAGAATGATTTCTTATATTTACGCGAACACTACACACATTGAATAAAACTACTTTTTATGGATTTTATCGCGTTTAATTTACTTATTTTATATTCCCGACGTTTCGTTTGCGCTCCAGCAACCATGGTCGATAAAATCCGTAAAAAGTAATTTTATTCAAAATTGTCAGAAGTTAGAATTGGTACCAGAAAATATTCCTGTAAGGGTACTGAAGCATTGTGCGCCCGATTTGTCTCCAGTTCTGACGCTCCTGTAATGCCTCTCTCTTAAAACTAGAACGATGCCCAAATCTCGGAAGCTTGCCAATGTGCAGCCAGTACCCAAGAAAGGTAGTCGTGCCGATCCCTGTCATTATCGATCAATCAAAATCGCCTCCATACTCTGTAAAGCTATGGAAAAGGTATTGAACAGTAAGCTGCTGACATACCTTGAAACAAATGACCTCCTCAGTGATCATCAATATGGCTTCGATGGAATATGGCTTTTATGGTATGTCACGCACTTCTGGGGCGAGGCCATCGAGAAGAACAGTGAAGCTTTAACAGTTTCACTTGATATCTCGAAGGCGTTTGACAGAGCTTTGCACGCAAGTCTGCTGAGTAAGCTTCCTGCTACGGCATCCCCGAAGAATTTTGCATCTGGATATCTGGTTTTCTGACTGAACGATCGATCAGGGTAGTTATAAATGACTGCTCTTTTGACCTAACGTATATTAATGCCGGAGTTCCTCAGGGGTCTGTTTTCTCTGCGACTCTGTTTCTGCTGCACTTCAATGACCTATTTCTACCAGGGTATTGGATATTGGGTATGCAGATGACAACACAGTCACAGAGAGATTCATGTCCAATGCAAAAGACAGAGGGTCAGTAATACGTTCACTCAGAGTCCATGGTGGAGCGGATAAATACAACCTTAAGTCTTTTATCCCAATGGGGTGATGACAATCTGGACACTCAACGCCGCCAAAACTGAGTTCGTTTAACTTATTTACTTATTTTCCGAGGTACATCTGTAGACGTTACTGATCATCTCAAGCTTCTCGGCATACAGTTGAGTGCTAAACTCAAATTTGTCGCCAACATTGAGTCGAAAGCATAAACTGCGGCCAAAAAACTGTGTATTTTTAACAAGGTGAAGCTATACTTCACGCCTGGACAGCTTCTAACTTTATATAAAGCTCAAGTCCGAACATGCATGGAGTATTATAGTCACCTTTATGATGGCTCAGCAAATTATCAATTTGCCGCACTCGTATCTGTGCAACGCAGAGCCAAGAGGTTTATCGGCGACAAATAGCTGATGAAATCTAAGCTTCACAGCTTTAGATCACCGCCGCCAAGTTGCTTGTTTGTCGGTTTTCTACAGATTGAACTTCGGAGAGTGTGCCCATGAGCTTCAAAAGCTCATACTGCCATCTCCATTCTCCTATCGGAATACCAGACGTACTCCACACTTGGTTGAAATTCCGATAAACGCACTAAGCGCTATAATTCATCTTTCATAATGCGCACAGATAAGGAGTGGAATGCCCTGCCGGCGTTTGTTTTTCCGAGTACATATAACCTCAACCTCTGCAAGGTGCGTGTTAACAGGTTTCTCCTGGGCTAACTCGCTCCATCGTAGACCTCATCTTTGCCGCCGAGACAGATGGAGGTCAAGAGTGAGCCTAGTTTAATAATAAAAACGGGTGCCGCATGGAAACGGGATACTTTGAACGTTTGTGCTGACAACCCTATAGTGCGGATCGATAGCTGTACGGATCCAATACGTAGTTGAATAAAATAACTTGTACGGATTTTAATGCGCTTAATTTTTACTTTTTTTTTTATCAACAAAATGGTTCATAAAACCCACCTAAAAGAACATGTACTGGTACTGGTAGTTGATGTGAAGCACCGACGCTTCGTCCGACCGAAGCGTCGTTACCATTACATCCGATCATTGATAGACTGACTACTAATCTTCACAAAAGAACACCGATTCCAACCAAGTATGATTGATTCCCGTTGCTATTTAAATTAAAGAAACACCCTTATTTTAATAAAGACGATGGCTGGGTGCTAATATTCTAGGATTTTTTATTGACCAATTTACGTGTATGTTTCTATATTTATTAGTGCAAACTACGTAAACTACTTTCGTACTTTGCGGCCCCTCTGTATTTTGCGATTCAGCATAATGTAGTCAAACGGCTTAGGATTTGTAAGTAAGCATCTAAAAATGTAATCTTATGTCAATAGAAATGTCATTTTCTTCTTCTTGTAAAGGCTGTCACATGTTAATCATTTATACCTAATAAATTTAAGTATATAACTGTTTGTTTTATTTTAAATTTAAGTAGCAAAAATACAATTGACATTGGCGTCATCACGGACGTAATGCTCAATACACGTAGTTGTAAAGTTACATGCTGAAAATTTATGAAGCACCCGAGGTCCTACAGTTTTGTTTGTCAATACGCGAGATTCACGCACACAAATGAGAATCGGTGGCAATATGTAGCGCGATGCGTGCTGCGAACTGTCGGACTTGGATGTTTTTGTGTGCGTGTACAACATTGTAGGGCATAGTGCTTCACACATTTTCAGTTTTTTTTTTTATAAAATAAGGGTGAAAAACGAGCACACTGTCCACCTTATGGTAAATGGATGCTGTGGCCCATAGACATCTACATTTATTCTTAATTAAGAATCAAAATGCACATGCGTTGTCACCCGAGGATAGAATAAGGGTAATAGACAAGTACACAGTCTAACTGATGGTAAGTGGATGCTGTGGCCCATAGACATCTACATTTATCCTTAAGTAAGAATTAAAATGCAGATGCGTTGTCATCTCTGAAGACTAAGATGGAATGCCTCGTATTCAGCGGCTCGCCGGTTCTCTACACTTACCACACGAAACACAGCAGCATTAAGCTGGTATTCATTGAAAGCTTCGTTCGACCTAGACCGAGCTGACCCAGCCCTGCTACAACCATAATATAGCTCTACCACAGTATATAGTAATAGTGTATTATAATTTCCGTATTTTTTTTTACGTACGTGGACGTTATATGAAAATCTTGTCGATGTCATGTGTTGTGCATCGAAAATAAGATACAGTTCTCCCATGGCCGAATTCAAATGCGACGTGTTTTACTGGTTAGACTATCGTAAAACTGTATTGAGGTACATTTTTTATTGGCAAGTACTTTATAGCACCAAGAATGGGTACATAATACAAAATCTTTTATTTTATTGAAGTGAAACTCAATGAAACGTAAAAGCGACACTAACAAGAGACAAATATACATCTTTAGGATTTAGCCTGTGAGAGAATGAGATAGGATAGAGTGTAGTTTGCGACAGTAGCCGTAGTAATGGCAGGGTGCGAACCGCGAACTCAAAAGGTTGCTTTGTTGCTTCGTATCCCCCATTCGACTCCTGTCGTGAAACATTCCAAACATAAGCATTTTCAGCTTACATTAGTGGTTAATAAGAATAAAATAGATATATTCTTATTAACCACTACTGGTAAAATTAACAAATTTAATTAAAAAAATTATCATATTCTACCAATACAAACAGTCCCCGATTTCAGGCCTTCGATCTTCAGGCCATCTAGCGTCTATTTTGCGTACCACATTGAGAATGATTAATTTTTTTTCGATTAAATGACTGTCTTTGCAACTTTTTTAATCGAACAAAAATTATATTACTCATCATTTCATCATTACAGCCTTTCATAAGTCCACTGCTGAACATATGCCTCCCCCAAGGAATGACACAAAGCACGGTCCTGAGCCACCTGCATCCATCGACTTCCTGCATATCTTACCAGGTCGTCACTCCATCTCGTGGGGGGTCGCCCTACACTTCGCCTACCGGTACGAGGCTGCCACTCAAGAACCTTTCTTCCCCATCGGTTGTCGGTTCTTCGAGCTATATGGCCGACCAACTGCCACTTCAGCTTACTAATCCGGTGGGCTACGTCGGTTACTCTGGTTCTACTGCGGATATCCTCATTTCTAAGTTTATTACGCAGAGAAACCCCGAGCATAGCCCTCTCCATAGCTCGCTGTGCGACCTTGAGCTTCCTCATACGGCCAGCAGTAAAGGACCACGTTTCAGATCCGTAAGTCATCACTGGCAACACGCACTGGTTGTACAATTTCGTTTTAAGGTTTTGAGATATGTCTGACGAGATGTGTCGTAGTTTCCCAAACGCTGCCCAGCCGAGTTGAATCCGTCGATTGACCTCCCGGTCGAAGTTGGACTTACCTAGTCGGACTATTTGTCCCAGGTAAACATACTCGTCAACAACTTCGAGCTTAGTGCTGCCAACAACTACCGGCATAGGTGTGACATGGACATTAAACATGATCTTTGTTTTGTCCATGTTCATTCATTGAATAAGGTACACAAACAGACAGTAGTTATATACAGTTCTAAAATTAAAAATGTGATGGTGTTGATCTAAACTACAATCCAAAAAAAAGTGTACACAGCATAGTAATATAACTTCAGTAGAATAACAAAAATAAAAAAGATAAAAAAAATACATTAAAAATTAAGAGCAACACGTAAATTTCTTTTAAATCTAACAAGGCTATTGTCAAATATATCTAGATGTACGTTACTACGCTTAATCTCGTCGTAATCACGGCACATTTTGACAACAGGGTTGAAAAAGGAAGTGTTATTTCTGTGTACGTCTAACCTAAATATTCTTTAAACACGTTGTCGTATACCGGAATTGAAGTTAACCGGAATTGAAACTATTGAGGTCATTGAGCATAGTGCTTAGGTCTTCCAACGATTCTGCCATAAGGACTATATCGTCGGCAAATCGAAGATGAGTGATGTACTCGCCATTGATGTTAATACCGTATCTTTTCCAGTCCAGAAACTCTTCAAACTCAAACTCTTCACCGCTGCATTGGAAGACGTTTTAAAGCGTCTTCCAATGCAGCGGTGGTTTCGTACTCTGGTTCTGTACTCGGATAGCCATCGTAGCCCTACTGTACAAGCACTTCAGCACTTAGATATACCGACAGTCAACTTGGCACCGCTGAAGGGACTGCAGCACCGCCCAAATTTCGACGGAATCAAAGGCTTTCTCATAGTAAACATACGCCAGACATAGTGGCAAATTGTACTCTTCGTACTTCTGTAGAATTTGCCGAAGGGTATGTATGTGGTCTATGGTGCTAAAGCCCTTTCGGAAACCGGCTTGTTCGGGAGGCTGGAAGTCGTCAAGTCTGCGCCCGAGACGATTCGTAATGACTCTCGAAAACAGCACGTAGACGCGGCTCAGAAGGGAAATCGGTCTGTAGTTCTTCAAGAGAGCGTTGTCACCTTTCTTGAAGAACAAGACCACCGCACTTCTGCTCCACGCCTCCGGTGTAATGCCACCATGGAGGACGGAATTAAAGAGCTTCTGAAGGACTTCAAGTACCGGTTTTCCACCCGCTTTCAGAAGCTCTGCTGTAATTCCATCCTCGCCTGGGGCCTTGCCGTTTTTAAGGTGCTGAAGAGCCATTCTAATCTCGCTCAGATTGACGTCCGGGATATCTTCGGAATTACTCTATCTACTTCATTATATAGAGAATGAAGTAGATGGCGCTAATACTAAGCAATTTTACTCGTAAGAACATATAAATAAATAATTAGGCGTGAAATATTTTTATTTCATTTCATTTGAAGGATTCCCTTCTACCGCGTGTGAAACTGCACTGTACATAAGTTTTTTTTTTATTAAGCTTAAGACTATTTCACCCTCTTATAATTAAAATATAGAAAAAAATCGATATGGTTTGATAGCGATGATGGTCGTCTGACTGATTAGTATAGATACGAAATGTAAAAGTATAGATCCGCGGTAGAATCAGATAAACCTGCATAGCCCAATGGATCAGTAAGCTGAAGTGGCAAAGAGCCAGTCGTGTAGTACGAAGAACCGACAATTGATGGGGAATGAAAGGTTCTTGCGTGGCAGCCGCGTATTGTAAGCGAAGTAAAGGACGGCTGTTCACTAGACGGAATACTAACAGCCTAATATATACAGGAAGTCAATGGATACATAGCTACTGTATTGTGGCATTCCTTGGGGAAGTTCTATGTTCAGAATAATTAAGGCTCCGTCAGTCATTTGCGGTCATTGAACGGCGTAGTTTTTATTTCTCTTAAAATCGATTCTTAATGAAAAACGGTTCTTACCTAAAGGTACGCATCTAGGACCACTAAGTTATAATATTGATGTGACTGTTGAGCTTGTACAAATTTTATTATCTTTCACCCAGTGACATAGGTAGAGTCTACAGATATTAATTTGTTACGATCCTGACATCTTTATTGTTTTCTCATGTCTATGTGTATGCCATACGTGTTCGTCGATTAAGGTTACTCATAATTTAGCCCATATTCAATATGGCGCTAATTTGGTCTATGGCGTCTTTTGCCAACTCTGTCACTTACTGTTATTGCTTAAATTTACTGTATCACTCTTTCTTCATTAATTCTTTCTACGTGTCTATACAACCGAAGCATTTTTTCCACAATTCTGGACAACTAAACTTTTCTTTTATCACAAAATTTATATTCATAGTCACAGTCACACAAAATATTTCTTAATGACATGGATCTACTGCATTGTTTTTACTCTCGTGCTTCTTCTATACCCGACTTTTACTACCATACTTTAACGTAAGGCACAATCATTGTTACCTATAATAATAATAGTCTCAAATAATTTTTGTCTATAATCATAACTAAAAGTATTTAATTGACTTAAGCCAATTAAGTCAGACGGCTTAAGTCAATTAAATACTTTAAGTTATTAAAATAAAACTTGTCAACAAGAAATTGTATGAGAATACAATTAAATCACAAAAGTTTTTTGTACTGCAACAAACATCTTATTTTTATGATAAAATTTAATATTACTTTATACGGATACTGTACGTGTTTTGAGACTGTCAAAAGTAGCAAATACAGAATAATTACATCTTAGTAGTATAAATATATTTAAATAATATTAGTAAGACATAAATGCAAATTCAAATTACATCATGCAGTGATACATTAATAACGTTACTGTTCAATACAATATTTTGTTGTGACTTTGTTGTGATTATATTGACTGCCTTGTTGATCTAGTGGTTGTAGTAGTGCGACTGCTGTTCATGAGGTCCTGGGTTCGAATCCCGGGTCGGCCCAAAAGATCAGTTATTGAGCTTTTCCATCAAGAAATTCTCAGTAGCTGCACGGAGTCAGGAAGTTGGCGGTGTCTCACCCCCGTGCCTCGGAAAGCACGTAAAGCCGTTGGTC